TGGTGAGAAATAGGATGTTAATGCATTAAACTACAACTGAAAATTGAAATACACTACTTGGTAACTAAAATAGTTTTTTTCTAAAATAAAATTACTGTAAATTTTAACTAGAAAAAATGTGAACTTTAATTATTTAAAGTTTTACTAACTTTTATTATTTAAAGTTGATAGTAATAGCAAAATTATTACAAACTAAACTTATATCATATAGTGACGAATGCGGTAGCAGCTACCATAATTCGCCAAAATAGCGAAGCGACAGACGACAACCGCAATTGCAGACGCTTTGCCTACATCTAGTAGACGGCTTTTTAGGCAAATATATTTCCAGTGATATCAAACCATACAATATATCATGTCATGATGAGATCATTTATCCACTCGGGTTTTCCCGCGTTTACTTCCACGTGTTATACTGACCCTACATATTTTAAATCTATTTGTTCATTTAAAGTATTGGTTTTTGTAGGTACATTGAAATAAATACAACAAAATCATCTAATCTTTTTATTACGTAGTCCCTTTCCCTTATATTCATGGAACCATATTTTTATCCAACAAATCCACTAACAAACCTGTACCCAAATTTATTCAATAGGTCATTGACATTTTTATCGTTTATCAAAATAACTTATGGGTTTTTATAAACTATGCGTAATAAATTTTGATCCCCTACCCTTTTCTAACTAGAATTAAACTGTATATAGTTACTACACTTTTATATTTCGTCACATCTGATGCCACTCCCTTCTCATAGCTCTTTCATACAAACAATCATACTTTTTAGACCTTTCTCTGACTTTGTAGCCATATACACAACCCTATGTTTTTATTAAATAATATGCAGTTCAAGGTCATTATAAAATATAACGATTTATATCCGATTCCTAGTAACTTGCCTAGTAACTGAGATGCATGCGTGCATCACGGATATTGCGTAACACGGCAGTTTCCACATATTATTTCTTAATCTCACATACACACACATATACGTTAAAATCATTACGTACATGTTCGAACCAAGAATATCCATTATAAATCGACCATCTTGTAACACACACATGGATAAACACGCGCCATTTTGCAAACGCTGTGTGCGTCTTTTGTGTGCACGGACGAATGCAGCTTGCGCGCTGCACATGCGGCGAGGGGAGGGCGCGGCGGGTAGAGGAGAGGGGCAGGGCCAGGGCCGGGCAGACCTTGAACGCGCCTAGCAACAGAGCTGCCAACTGCAGCACACTTATTTATTTCTGTTTTACTCGTCTACACGTTCGCTTGCAATTTAAAACGGAACGTTTTATGTATAACCATAATGGTACAGGCGGGGTTAGACTTCGCCGTCAAATGTTCTCATTCTTTTGAAGATGGTACACTATTTTTTTTCTACATTTGCTTTTGAAGACAGTATGTGACATTATACTATGCAGTCATTATAGTCTCTAGAAGGTTATTTTTTGTTACACCTGTATATTTAATGTCTGTTTTAATTGACCACGGTTGTTGATGTAGAAAAAATTAAAATCGTACGATTTTTTAAGGGTGAAAAAGAAATCAGTGGCATTGTAAGTCTCTCACTCTCTCTTTCTCTTCATCCATATGACGCCCACTATTAGGCATAGCCCTCCCTCAAAGATCATGACGATGGTCGTATGCTACCCGCATCCGCGTTGTAAAACTAAATTTAATTACTATGTTTCAATAGACGGACTCTTTACCTGATATCACCATATAAATATGTTATAGATAAATATTTGCAAGTATCGAAAGTATCTTAAAATCGTGATTATCATCGCAAAACGGCCATTATCAGTATCATTCCTGTCTCGTGCAATGACTAACTGCTTTGTTATCGTACGATAAAATATTGCTACGCTATGTATTTTACATCACCTAGACATAACAAAGTAACATTTTGTTTTAAATAGGTAAACGTCTGTTATGTATTCTTTAAATCAGCAAAACAATAGAATGTATTAAAGTTTTAAATTTTTATTAACTAGATGGCGCTGTATTTAATCATAAATTATAAAACACAATTTGTTTATTGAAAACCAATAAAACACACTGCTTATATCCACTATGACTCTTAGGAGAAGAATCGCATGGCTCCTCATTAGTCAAATTAACTCCGTCCTTCACACTCAGGACTTAGAAACAAACAAACAAACCCAGATAACTTCATACGCGCGTAAAACATTACCGTCCTGAGACAGTCTGGTAAAAGTATGGTGATGCATTTAGATCTTTAAATTAAACTTGCTTGAAATACATCATTGCGAAATAAAAATACATTTGCGAAAAAGTGCTGGTTTTATCATTAAAAAAAAACTATATTTTTAAACACACACTGATTTGACATGGCGCTGGCGGGCCGATGATGGCACTTTTATTTGACCGTTAGTTTCCAAGATCAAAATCTGTGTAACAATCTCGGTCATTCCTTTTATTATTTTTGCCAAAAGTATAATAACAATATTTTTTAAACGGAGTATTTGGTCTCAGAAACTCACCATAAGACATGGTGTTTCAGAAACCAGACGTTTAACAATCAAATCAAAAGAAATAATATACAAAGATATCGGGGAAGCCGGATATCCCTACACTAGCGTAGTAACATTGAACATGATACGATATTGCCGACCGACCTTAGCATAACCACACTATCGGATTTCCATTCTACCAAGCCCCCACTTTTATTATTAGATTACAACACAGCATTGACAGTGTTAACACGATTTGTTATGTAATGAGTGAAAATGTAAATATATAACAAGTCGACAACAATATGTGTCTATGGCCACAAATAAACAGTGTTGGTTTCATATTAAAAACATAAGTTTATAGCAGTCTTTCCCAAAGTGGGCGATAACGCCCCCTTGTGGGCGCTGCAGGTCTCAAGTTGCGGGTTATAGTAAAAGTTTCGTTTAGAATTCTCCGTTAATATACATATACAGGTCACAATAATTCATTTAATTTGAAGTTATAGTTGTTTTTAAATATGTGAAAATATGGGGGCGCTAATATTTATTGTCGAAGTTGGCAGTAGACAAAATAAGTTTGGGAACCACTGGTTTATAGCTTGATTTGATAATCTCTAACCAAAGACGCACATGGTCTGTCTTGAGTGCTGTCTCATATTATTGAACATGTACACATAAAGAAAATTAAGACAACGTTAAACTGTCTATAGTCATGGGTAACTCAACTAAAATTGAATACCTGCAGATCAGTTCCCATTTACATGCGTGCAGTGCAGTGCTGAGCAGTGAGCCGGCACACTGATCAGCTTAATTTGTACCTGCATAAAATTACCAGGCAGCACGCGGCTCATCGACTCACCTAGTTATAGTAAAACGCAATGAGCTGTGAGCTGTTAATATAGATATTCAACAGTAGCTGAACGGGTTATGTTTATGTGAGCTGTACTTTTGAACCGATTCAGAGTCGATTTAATTGGTAAAAATAATTTAAGAACGATTATTATTACATTTAAAAATTAATTGTGATTCGTTAAATTATTTTTAAAAACTCCTTAAACTATTATACTACTTGATACTATATTGTCATAATATGACAGTTTTGAAGATTATCTTGAGCTAATACTAACACGTGGTTACACATATTTTCAAGATAATGTATGATTGATATGTTATGTATTAAGTTTATTTTCTATATATTTAGAATGTTTCATCCATTTTGTATGGGATGAGAATAATTCAGTATTAAAGGAGATAAAATTTGTTTTGAATAAAATATCTCAAAACGAGATATTAAAGTTTGAGCCATCATTGAAGCATTGTTTAACTTTGAGTTTTCAAAAAAAAACATACGTGCAAATGAGAATATGTTTTGTGCAATGCCAAAATCGAAAGTAATCTACAAAAACTCTTCTTGAAATTCATATAAAATAATAAACAGTAAATCTAATAATCAACAAGTTTTCCAACAAATTGACGTATAAAATTGCTCTTTCATGTATATTTTATCTGTATTTCGAAGTACATCGCATTACGCAATTGGGGCCGTGTAAATCAATTTAGCTCAGCCCGGGTCCTAGGTATCCAGGTCTCCCCGGGAGTGCCCTTTGACATTATCCAGCGTGGGTGTTCGTGCGCGCATGCGCAAATCCTTCCCCACCCAAACCCCCTTCCTAAACCCCCCCCAAGCGTGGGCAGATGACGCAAAACCTGCCAGCGATCGTTTATAGCTATATTTAGAATTCTTGCTACATTGTAATTAAGTAATAAATGTTCTTTAAGGATTTTAAAAACTGATTACAGTAAAGTGTCAGCTTTATGTATTTAATTTCTATTTTCGGACAACCAAATAAAATTTTATATCGAAATAACCTAAAATATTCAGGCTTACATTTAAATTAAATTTACTATCGTTTTAAAAATATTTTGTTAATTTATTGAATACCCTAATCATCGCAGCTTTAAAGGTATGTTTGAAAGGTATGCATTAATTGTAGTTTCTTTTGTATACCAACACTAAAACAATAAAAATGTCACATCGTCGAGTCAGGCAGTGAGTCAGTATGGGTGGGACTTGTGCATTCATATGCTATTTGTGCTATATTTGTGAGTTATATGTTTAACTTTGCATCGCGTCATACTATGTTTTGTGTAACTACGTAGCTGAGTTAACTTTTTCATTGATTTCATAGTCACATTTATAAACTATTTGTTTTTTGGAACAAAGACTACTTTAGTTCGTTACAGTAAGTGTTTACAATGAAGATAGCTAAATCGATAATACCTTTCGATATCCACAGGTACATAATAAATAAATCATAGTTGCATATGTTTCTTATGTTGAATAAAAATCATCAATTATCTAACGTCAAATCTATCTACAACAGTTAATTTTTTTATTTTGTCAGTTTTATTTGTAAGTCGTTTTAATTTTAAACCTCTTTGTCGCCATTTAATAAAAAAAAACTAGGTAAAAATGAAAGAGGTTATACTGTATGTATAATATAACTCTTTGTTTTTCAGACACTGGCTGATTGCGGCCGGCAGATAGCATAACGAGGTGAGTTTATTTCTCGTTTAATTTTCCATTACAAAACGCGAACGTTACGATACGAGTCCGATAGAGCTGTCACGTATTGCACAGAATGCAGGCCGTTTTGATTAAGAGCTAATATTTTTTTTTCCTGTTACTGTTTAACAACGGTTAACATTAAATGCGATAATATTGTTAACAACGTACAACGAATTGTACGAAATATTATGATGTAATTATATTTTTTTTATTTACTATTTATTTATTTAGGAGTGCCAACAATATATGCAACATATACAAAGTACAGAGGTTGTATCTTAATTAATACGTTAAGACATATTTCAGTTATATGAAAACACAGTATTTATGTATACAAAGAAGTTATAGAACAAAAACAAAACTATAAATGACATTTTTTAATCTAAATGTATTGAAAAATGGTTTAGTCATAGTGCCATCCAAACTTTAAATTGCTTCGCAATTTTCAACAAGATGCTGCGCATAAAATTAGGTATTTGCGAAATGTGCTTTACTGCATTTGCGGTAGGCCCTTCACCTGCAGTAAAATCTCATGTTTAAGTAGGTTTTGCCAATCTCGAAAACCTGACGTCACAATTTTGTATAATTTTTTAAATAGCTTCTAATAATAATCTTATAATTCTTCTGAATTTTTCTACCTTTGACCAAATAAAAGTATTAAATGTTACTTTCATCTTACATTAGTTCGTAAAAAAATTACAAAACAGCGCTAAAGACAACAACAGCCTATGACGATATATCAGTAATTTTCAAGATTAGATAGGTTCGTTATCTTAATTCGTAACGTAAGCAAACGAAACATTCGCAAATCGATTTACGCAAGACCACTCTGTCAATAAAACCTGGATTATTCTTCTCAAGTGCTTAGTGGAAATTTTTTTTACGTAGTCACACTATTTATAACACTCGAAATCCTTGGATAAGCATAAAAAATAAAAAGAGCAGAAAAATCTGTAATATCTCGGCAGTGCAGTGTCAAACACCTTAAAAGAAAAAAAAACTATAGGAGGAACATGATTAATATTAAAATATCGATAAATTTAATTTTAAATTTTATCCGAGCAAAACTACGCTTGACAAGTGCAGTAATGTGTATGTGTGCGTCTCAAGGTCAAGGTTGGCACGTGTGGCGGCATGCGGGGCACGGCGCGGGGAGGGGAGACGCGTCCCCTGGAGTCTGTTCCCCCCGCCCCCCTTCGGAGTTCCTTTGCAAATTTTTCAAACCGTTCCCCATCAAATACCACGACAGTTTTAGCTTATAAGTAGGTATATAGGTCAGATTCTTTAGGTGAAGGATGACGTTGTGGTTTTGTTTTATTTTGAAACCAGTTTTACGATACCTTCGTTGGTTAACTTGGTGCTCGAATTGTGGACTCATTCGTAAGCCTGTTTTCTTTATGCACGTAAGTTCTTAGTCATTTATTTATATGATGGACAAACGAAGTCATAAATAGGTAATTAAAAATATAGTGCATTGAGTAGACTTAAAATTCATATGGTCACTTCGTTAGTAAATATTATAATTCTAAGACTTGATAATTTTGTAAAATTCAGCATTTTTATTCAATGACTAATTTTATTGTATCATAATATTTTGCAAATATGTGTTTGAAAATTAAGATTAATGCATAATTAAAAACCAGTATTTTTAACAGGAAAATGTCAAAAATATTACCCGCATAAATAGTGAAATAGTATAGGTAACTAGTTAGAATTAATATTCTCGGTTTTATAAAGTCATTAGTTAGGTTTTAAGCTAAAATTATGATATATATTAATTTAAAAAAAACCTTTCCGAGAAGGGTTGAACAGTGCCATCTATTGGAAAATTACAGAAGAGAAATGAAGCGGTTGATGCCTGGGTTTTATTAAATTGTATTGAAGGGAACACAGATGGCTCTGTATACCTATAGTTTCATAGAGGTCGCTTTTACCGACTTTCTCTTGTTTTGGTTATACCTTTCGTGATGTTATGTTATTGATTCTTACTTTCTTTTTAAAAAAAAATATATGTTAATTTGTTTTATTATAATAATGATTATGATATAACTAAAATATTATTTAAGTATATATTGTATAAAAAAACCTAATACTTTCTAAACATTTAAGAATTTGAAATACATAACTCTAGTGTTTCACATTTGAACGTTTGAAGATAAATGATTGAATAGACATATCTTTTTGAACTTACAATTTACTCGTAATGTTTTGCAAACTGTAGGATACTGAAAGAAGTTTTTTTTTAAGTTATTTGTTGTAGTTTTGTTATACACGTAAAGTTTTATTTAGGTTCCTTCAACACGTCGGCGTCTTTGGTGCAAGATCTCCGGGCTATTGAACGACCGGGTGCCACGCTGTGCTCTCTCGGGAATTAGGTCGAGTGAACACAGCTGGTGGTATCTCAGTTGTTCCCTAGTCTTCCACTATATAGAAGAATAATAAAGAAGAATTTAGAAGTCGAAGATGCAACTTGAAGAAAATCATCATCGCTTTGAAGACAACATAAGAAAATACTCAAGAAGAAACAAGAAATTACCTTTATTGTTTTTTTAAATTCTAATTATAAATGTAAAACTTAAGCTATTAAGTTGCATTTCGATATACTTTGTTTGTACTTAATGTAGATTTTTTTTACGTGTTCAATAGAGTAATTAGTTTTAGCTATAAGTTTACCTCGTGTGTAAATAAAGCTAAAGAAGTGACCTTAAAATTTAATATAACATTTAAAAAATACAATTTCAAGGAATTATTCAATGCACCATACTTTGATTTTTCTACACGCAGATAAATTAATTAAATACAATTTAAAGTTTTTTTGTTGCGTTTACTGTAAAATTAAATCAATGAAAACGACAAATTCAAGAATTACACAAGGTTTTCGTGTATTCATTAGTTACTAATGTTGTATATTGTATTATAATTCTCTATAATTTAGCAGTGTGACAATTGGAAATACTTATTAAATACTAGCTATCGCCCGCGACTCCGTCCGTGCGGGATACTATAAATAATAGATACGGGATAAAAAAATAAATAGTAGCCGATTCTCAGATCTACTAAATATGCGTTTAAAATTTCATGAGAATCGGTCAAGCCGTTTCGGAGGAGTATGGGAACGAAAATTGTGACACGAGAATTTTATATATAAGACTAGCGGACCCGACAGACGTTATCCTGTCTACACGTCTTTAATTTGAATAAATTAATATGAAGTTAATATTTTAATGAAAATTGTGAATCTAAACCATTCCTAGATCCCCTTGAACACACACAAAAAATTTCATCAAAATCGGTCCAGTCGTTTGAGAGAAGTTCAGTGACATACACACTCACAGAAGAATTATATATATAAAGATAAGAGCAAATCGTGAATTGTACGAATCATATTTTTTAAACTATTACAACTAGAACATTGATTTAATTTTAGAGTAATCTGTAGATCAATATATTTTTGCACTCAAGAGTATTTAAATAGAAACGGGATGATAATGTACGGATGGATACTTTCCTTTCAAGACCAGGCAGCATTTAATGAAGTAGTTTGTATTACAAGAAGCAAGCGTACGTCGAATGCTTGGTTCTACTCGATAGGGTTGCAACTTATTCTCGTAAATTTCATGTATATCCGAGCTACGGGGTTGACAGACTCCGAGTTAGTGTATACTATATCCCCGGATATCGTTCGCTAACGGCCAAAGTGAAAACGAACAAATGTGAATGTCTTTTGTTTATAGTCGTTCTCCAACAAGTCAAGGGTTAAAATATTTGTCACTTATCGCCTTTTGTTTCTTTTTAGTTTTTGAAATACGTTCATGGCAAGTCGACAACCCTATTAGGAGGTAAACGCGCGTATTTCGCTGCGAGGGAAAGTCGCGATGATATCTGTTTACGGGCAACGCGTCTTGGTTTTACTTTTTTTTGAGCTACCGTATCGGGTATGTAGGTTAGCTGGTACTTGTCTCGATGAACGCAATTAAATCTTATAAGAGAAAAGGTTGCCATTCTTTATGTTTAATATTTGAAGATGGGTTTATTTTTGTTTCGAATATATATAAATCGTCCCTAAATTGATAATTAATACAACATACACGATAAGGCTATATGTATATACGTTAGTTATGTATTACTATTAACATTATATGCAACTTTATCTGTAGCCATAAGTTTTGAGAGGCACTTCTTGTTATGACAATAGACTTTGTAAGTTGTTGTTGTTTTGATAATAGATGGAGACACGTGTTTTGTTTTAGTGCTTCTGCCAAACCTAATTTTTTGTTAACATTGAGCTGTAGGAGCGACCGATTACGCCTTACCGGGCGTTTCCATTGGCGAAACATGTGTATTAAAACATATGAATGTCTTTAATAAAACATTTTATTTTCATACTAGTTGTCGTCTGCGACTCTGTCTTCAGGGAATTAAAAAACAACATAATTGGTAGCCTATATGTTCCTCCAGACTATGTTCTATATGCCGAATTTCTTCGGGATCCGTTGAGCCGTTCTGGAGATACCTTTAAACAAACATCCATCCATCGAAACACACGCATTTATAATATAGTAAGATAAGATATAATATTAGTAAGACGAGTGCTGTAACAGGAAAGAAATGATTACAGTTTCACTCAATAGACCCACGAGGACGTTTTATACGTTCGTGTTTTGTTTGTTTTCTCGATATCCAATAAAAAGCCTACATTTTTATGCTTTAGGAACTAACTGATGAACTGTGTGCAAGTATCAGAGCCCCACATAGACATAATATTGTGCGGTTTCATCGTAATACCTGCAGACTTATTGAATTTGCCCTGACATCGCATTACGTTTGCCATGTTAATAGTGCTTGCTACGTGAACACTTAAGAACAATAATTTGATTAGGAGTTTGATAAATTAAACATTTTTGTTAACTATTTTTTAAGGTCACGTTTGTTTTTAATAATTTAAAATATTGTTTAGATCACGTTTTTTATATAACATTAGCCAAAGG